CGCCGCCGCCGCCGCTCTCCGCCTCGCCCGCCCGCTCTCTCCGCCGTCCGCCGCCCCGTGGGTCCGGCGGGAACTGGCGGAGCGGAGGAGGGGCGGGGGTGTGTCCCGCCGGCGAGGGGACGGGGCGGGGGCCCCGGAGCCTGCTGTCAGCGCGCTGGGGAAGGGCTGGCGGCGCCCCTTCACCGCGCTCCGGCTCCGGGTGCTCGGCGCTGGCGGAGGCTGTGGGCGCAGGAGGCGGAGGCAGGGCCCGGCCGGCAGGGAAGGGAAGGGAGGGGAGGGGAGAGAGGGGAAGAGCGCGGGGAGGGGCTCCAGGCCCGGGGGAGGGGCTCGCGGCGGCGGGGAGGGGGCTGCAGCCCTGCCCGGGAGGCCAGGGTGCGCCGGCGCGCCCCCACCCAGCGCAGAGCGCAGCCCGCGGCCTGCCACGGCGCTGGGCTACTTCGCCCGGCACAGAAACTCGAGGTGGCTTCGGAGGGAGGAGGGGCGGGGGGAAGTGAACCTAGCGTGCCCCCGTCCTGGCTTTCCTTCTTGGAGCGGATTTGTGCCTTTTTGTCCCCACCTTTACGTCCCCCTCCCACTCATATCCCCAGATCCTTGTAATGAAAAGTAGTTTATTACCCCGCTGTTACTGCCCAGGCTCCCCAAGGAGGAGACGGGAATGGGGAAAGGGCCGGCATTAAATCCTTCAAACCAGAGCCTCTTTTGATAAACCACCTGCCCCCCTGCGGGTCACAAAGGGTGAATTCTCCCCGGAAATGTGATCGATCCACTGCCTGCCTGACTCGTCCATCGATCTGGGCCCGTGTAACTAACCTGTGACATCATTTACCAGTGAGGTTACAAGACTCTGCATAACACCCCCGCCTTAAGCCCGGGACTCCCCTGATACCCTCCCCTGGCGGGGTAGGAGGGAAGGGACCACCCAAGGGTGGGAAAATCCACTAGATTGGCCCCCCCACCCTACACCCCTGTTCATCATTGGCCCCAGGCTCTGGATTTCTCACCACTTCTCCCTCTGGTCTGGAAAACTGACTTGTGGCCACTTGTCCATCCAGGGACTTGGAACACAATTACTATTTAATTGAATTTACACCCCCTCCCGGTCTATTTCATCTATTCTTTTTCATTCTAGTTTCAAATATTTAAAGAGTTAGTGTTTTCACAATTAATTCTGTTGTTTCACAAACACAATAAAGCTTTGTGACCATGGACCAATGTGAAACATCTGAAATGGGGACAAAGAGTTTTATGACCTTATTGTATTAATAGTTTCTTCCCTGCACTGTCAGAACCCATGTACCAATCTAAGATTATTCACACATCTGCTTGGTACAGAGTACCCCACTATTCATCCTTCTTGATAAAGGATGCTAGAACACCAAGGGACGCCACTATCTAAATATTTGACCTTGAGCAAATCATTTAATTTAATGCCACAGGTATTAGAGTCACCTTAAGGTTCTCATTTGTCAAATGTGGGTCCTGAACTAAATGGTCTTTTAAGATTCCTTCCTCCATATACTTCAAACTCTGAGCAATAGTAACTCCTGTGGGCATAGTTTTGAGTTCTTTGTTTTTCATAATGAGCTGGTATGGATTTTGACATTTCAAAAATAAATAATGCATTGACTAAGCACCTCTTCTGTGCTAGTTCATAAGACATTAAGAGACAGAAGAGAGAGTGAGAGAGTTCAATTAGTGTTTGTGGAACTGAAAACTGAATCCAATTGACAAATGCTTATCCCGTCCCTCAGAGTGGGGAACCCAGTTGAGAAACAGGGACATTGTTAAGTCAGTATCTACTAAAATGTGCATTAGGACTCCAGAAAACAGAGGCTCGGAGCAGTCAAGGGGAGCTTCATGGAGGAGGCTGTCCCTGTGCTGGGCCCTGGAGGATGCGCAGTTTGAAACACCTTGGAATACTTTGCCTCCTCGGAACTCTTCTGGGCCAGCAGCCCTTGCCCTGAGCTGTCCTGACATGTGTGTATTTGTCCATAACAGATTTCATTTCCTCTGAAAGCATCTCATGACTAGGGACTAGCTGTAAGCTATCTTATCCTCCTTGGCACTCTTCAGAGAGCCAAGCATGGTGCCTTGTAGTCACTGTATGAGAATCTGTTGAGCAAACGATCAGGGGGAGAAAGAAAAGATGGAGTGAGGAGAAGTAACGTGTGTAACCTGAAGCCCAAACCAGCTAGAGGCCAGCAGAGGAAGAGGGCAGTGTCTACCGCGTGGAAGGGTGAAGGAAGGGGGCAAGGCACAGGAGAAGGAAATCGAGAGAGGAATGAGTGTGGGATGTCCAGGCAGTGAGTGATCTTGACATTAGGCCCAGGGCTTCTCTAGCAGAGACGCTGGAAACCCTGGTGGATGCTGGGGCAAGCATCCTGGGAGAAGGTGATCTGGCAGTGATGCTCAGTGATGGGAAGGAGAGGAGACAAGGGGTCACTTGCTCTGAGCAACACTTGTTCCCCATGGGGGTGGGAGGTACACGTGTGATAGGCCCTCAGCACTGAGCTCCCCTCAAGGGGAGGGCTGGTAGCTAGGAATCTGGGAGGGCCTGTGATGATGAATCAAGACAGACTGTGGGTTCACTGTAGAAGAATTCCTAATGGCACCCAGCCACTCTTCCTCTGTGGACCTCGAGGCATTCTGGAAGTGCTAAGTAAGTCTGAGAAGCCCCTGGTGAGGAGAGCTGGTGTTCAGCTGTTGGAGGGAAAGAAGAGGAGAGGGGTTGGTTTGCCCTGGGTCCCCTTTTGAGTCAGAGTAGTGGGCTCACCTAAAAGGCACCAGTGGCTTCCCATTTGCGTTCCTTCTTCTATAGACTAGGATCCACACTGAACATGACTCTGACTAAGCACAAGGAAGACAGACCTAAGGATCCATGCTCCTCCACTTTTCTAGTGACTCAGTGCTGGCCTACAAGGCATTGGTTTTTCCCAGCCTGAGACGCCAGACAACCTGACATCTCTTAAATTCAGGGCTTATTTATTTTTTATTTTTTTGGTGGGCAGCAAAACAAAGCTTATTGAGTGGTAGTAAAGTTTATTGAGTGATAGTACAAAGCTCCTGAAGAGGGAGGGGACCCGAGAGGGTTGCCTGAAATTCACGGTCTTGACACACAACTTGAGTACTGCCAGCTTCCCTCTGTGCTCCCGAATTACCTCAATTAAAGGGAGTGACTGAGTGGCAGCACCCACCCCAACTCCATGGTGCCAAAGTCTTTGGGCATTATTAGTTGGGCAGAAGTAATTTAGATCGGGGGGGGGGCGCGGGGGGGAATCTCTTCCCTCCTGGAGCCGTATGTTCAAGAGGCTGTGGGTGTAAAATGGTACAGTTCTCCCTTCTTGCTAGGGTCATTTCAACCTCACACAGATCTCTCTCCCGAGAGTGCTTTAGGCATTTCTTTCTGTGCAGCACACTTTTCCTGAGTGCCTGGCACTCCCCAGAAATGACTGAGACCGGCCAAAGGCCCCCTGGAGAGGGGACTGTGTCTCCCCTTTTCAACACCCCAGCATGCCTGGCACACAGTAGGTACATTGGTTGGTCTGTGTTGAAAACATCTGCTCAAGGAGCTAGTGCTGGAGAAGAGTAGGTAAACCCCTATTTTGCATCTATGAACTGGGGATGACTTCAATCCAAGGACATCGTGTGCGTTCAAATGATACAATATAATCATAAACATAAATAAAATAAAAGTTAAAGTTTAGGATAAATAAGGGAAAGAAGACTCAAAAGAAAGATGCAACCTGACAGACAGCTGAAAATCTGATTTTTCAAAAACAGATCATCTAAGATGCTTAGAACAAAGAATCTTCCAACTGGAAGGGATCCAAGTAGTTATTTATTCCTCTAAGTTTACAGAGGAGCAAGCTGAGACAGAGAGAAGGCTAAGCAAGTCGTCCGATGCCATAGAGCCAGGTAGTCCCAGCCCAGTAGTCTTTCTCTCCCCAGCCCACCCCGCATGCTTAGGAGCCTATTCACAGGCAAGAAGAGTTCATTGAAAGAGCACACACTCAGTGCACTGACGAACATCTGCAGATCCAGACTGTTGCTCCCCCTTGAACCCCGAGTCCCTCATTCCAATCCTCCATTCACACAAGCATCACATGGCTGCCTGGACCCCCCAGCAAGGCAGGACGTCTCTCAAGGGCAGGGACCCTGGGTGTCTCCCTGGAAATCCCCTCAGCTCCCTGTACACAGAGCCCACCCTGCTTCCTTTCCCATGTAGTCTTCATGACCGCCCCAAAGAAGCCAAACACAGGAAAGCCCTGAAAACAGTTAAATGCTAAACCAAAGGCACAGTACCACTCTCTCTCCTTTTCAGAAAGTTTATGGCGATGGCTAACCACTCGTTTGGCTACTAATCATACATTGCCCTGTGACAGCCAACTGCTACTGTATCAACATCTTTTTATTGCTCTTTAACTTAGTGGTGCTTAGGTGGTGCCATCTAAACCAGTCAGAAACCTGGGAAGGTCTGGAGGACTGTGAACACAGACTCTGGCACCACCCTTTCCCTCCCGGCCCCCACCATAGCAACTGGCCACCTGCCACCCCCACCCTCCCATCCATCACAAGGCTCTATACATTCCAGG